GACCCAAGGACTTCCCTATATCTGTGATTTCTTTCATACCAGACATCTTGAGCACTAAAACTGACCGACTTGAGACAATTAGAAACTGAATCAACACATTGTGACTACCATGACCCTGAACCGATACACTAACCTCAGCAGTAGCATTTGCGCAAGATACACGAAGACACGCGATGACGGCATTCGATGGCTTAGCAAAAATCGCAAGCAACGCTAAAATTAGCAAGCTCGCCAAAGAAAGCAAATGCTGTGAAGGGAACATGGATTGATCTCATTCCTAGCTTGTCTATGAGAGTTGTCAACCGTTTCCCACCTCCAATGTCTCCTGTAAACGGTAAGCTTTCACTTTTTCCCTTGCGTTTCCCGGACAAGCCCCCAAATGTCAGAATGACCCCGAGAAGAAATGAATAAACGGAAGGGGGAAAGCTTACTTGGTTTACAAAACACAAATGAAGTCGAGAAAAGGACGACAAAACAATATCTGACTTGGACTACAAAAAATTTAATAAATCCAAGTAAAGGTCACGGTCAAAGGCTAAACAGGTCTTCCAGTGCGCACTGACATATTACACAAATCGATAGGCGAAAACAATGAACAAAAATTCGGGAAAGATTCTTAAATAATGAATCAGCGGATAAAATCCAACCTCAAAACAAAACTTTCACAATCCGCTGTCTACAAGACTACAACGTTCGTACAAAAACGCTTCTACTTAATTAAACCCGTCAGGGTTTTTGAGATTAAGGAATTACAAGTAATAATCCAAAACTATTAATCCCTAAAAATTGTTCTTTGTAGAGTTCGTTCGGCCAGACTCAGAAAATCATGCAGTTCCGTTTACGGAAAACGTTCGTTTTAAAACGAGCCCACCTCAGCCCACGTTCGTTAGTCCTGGACTTGCAGGAAACTGCCGGTGTCCACTTCACCGTTCGTACTAGCCTCACTCGGAGCAGTCGATAGGGTTGGTGGCACTCGTACTGGCCTGGGTGGGATAGCCTCAGTGGGGAATTACGTGCCTCCCGTACTTCCGTGCTAGTTGGCCATCTAAATAAAAGATTTATTAAGTAAAATATCTTCTCTACTAAAATAAACACAATCTTGGCTACTGCCTTATCAATCAATGTCCAAATATGACATCACTGTGCAATATTCTTTAAAACAATGATCATGATCTCAATCAATAGACTTTCTACACCAAGGGAAATGTAGCTAACTTTCTCAACAATCAAGTAAACATCAAGAAAGAGGAAAAGGAGGTGAAAAATCACTCCTAAAGGCACATACTATACAATAAATCTGGATAGTTCGTAACGTTAAATATGAACACACATCATTCCTTTAAGGTACATCTATATCTAAGACTCTCAGGCTTTCTTTAATCGGATTTAAGTCATATCCAACACACATGTCATTCTCTGGGAAAATGACTAGCATGAATTTATATAAACACATAACATTTAAATTAGAAAATAACTGAATACTCACAGTCACAAGAGACTCTTCTCTTCTTCGAAAAAACATGGAATGTAGCCTCAAACCATGTGCCCCTCACAAGCAAATAGGTGTACTGGAGAGTCAATATCTCTCAAAATCACACACAAAATAAATGGATGGCAATCGAAAATTATTACAAGTTGCAACATCCAAACAGAAGTAGAATCGCTGCGGGGCAATAATTGCTAGCAGGCCGCCGGCACTGCTCGAGCTGTCAAGCCTTCTGCCGCACCTAAATAAACAAAAGCCTCGCCACGCCACAATGCTCCCAGAAGTCCGTAGGACCAAAAAACCTATTCAAAGTTTCCCGCGACGACAGTACCTTTAACCTTTCTTTGTGACCAAAACCATTCAACCTTGGAACAACAACAAACGTGACTATGACCAACGACGCACACAGACCTAGACATGTACAAGTCATCTAACCACTAAAAGTTACATCAAAGTTACTCGCTAAAAAAAAGACTTTGTGACAGGCACATAACGTCCGTGTCTTACCATTGCAGGGTAATCCCATATATTTTCCACCCAATGTCAAATACAGGCTTGTATATCGCAAAGCTTGGAAAGTGGACTGCTGAAAAAGAAAAAATCGTGACGTCATTTCATCCCAAAATAAGGACTTAACGTTTACAACAACAGCCGGGCGCGTATCGCGTAACATCGACAGAGCGAGTAACACGGTGTTTTATCCATGTCTATGACGTGATAACGGTTGAATGACCGAAGACCCGATATAGAAAATGCCAAAGGATTAGTCAAAATCTAATAAGCGATTATCTGTTCAAATGACATCGACTACCCCCGCCTCCCCCCTCCAAAACAAAAGGTCACAGGGATGGCACGCCAGACGGTTGTAAACATACACGTCACCCGGTACGTGGTCGATTGAGCATCAGCGTTTTCCTAGGGAACCAATCAGCGATCGAGATTTGACGGTTCAATGACTTGCCCGACGCTTGTAAAAATAAACGCCCGGCGGGAAGAAATTGAGCATCATATCTGCGCTTTCCGGGAACTTATCAACGGTCTAGAAACTGCGGTGATGATATGATGCAAGGAGTTAGTACAGACGGTCCAACCTCGTCCCCAGGGCGTCAAGCGGTACGCGCCCACCACTACCTGCTTGCTATTGGAAACGAGGTTGGAAATAAAATAAGCACTGGGGACGAGGTTGCAAGCGGTCTAATTGACATAAAATGGCACACCCCCATTGCTACGAAATGACCAAGACGCTAATTAGTGCAAGAAAGTAAAAACCTAATTATGCAAGTGCACTACACAACAATGCAACTATTGCTCTTTGTCAATGACGTCTTCGGCGAAGACTGGTTTCGCACTAGTATATGGACCTTTAATGATTATGTACGAACACAAGCTGCTTCGTGGTTTTGGTAAAGCTTTAAGGGAGTATGTTTGGGGGACCCCCGTGCACCCCCCCCCCCCCCCGCGTGCACCCCCCCCCCCCCAACTAACCAACACCAATTTTTTTTGGTGCATTTTAGGGTCCTAAAACACATTTTGGATGTTAACAGTAAAAAAAAATCGGACGCTCTGAAGATATCCAAGAAGGTGGCCAATATGGCCGCCAAAACTAAGGTAAAAACTGGAAATAAAAGGCATATATCAGCCAAATTATGTAATAAAAGCATTACAAAAATGGTTAGTTATGTGTTTTGAACCGCAAAAAGTCCTTTCTTGTAGCTTTTTTTTGCAACATGTTTTAAATTCAAAATGGCGGCCAATGTTGTGGCCAAAATCGCTGCCTAAAAACGATGGAAAAAGTCATATATCAGCCTAATAATATGATAAAATCATAAATATAATTGTTAGTCATATGTTTTTGACGTTCACAAATTCATTTTTGGTATCCTTTTTTTGCTGTCATGCTTCAGATGCATGATGGCGGCTAAGATGGCGGCCAATATGGCCGCCAAAATGGTAAAAAAAGGAGAAATTCATATATTAGCCAAATAGTGTGATAAAAGCATCAAGAAAATTGTTAGTTTTATGTTTTTACCCTCGCAAATTGATTTCTGGTATCACTGTTTTGCCATCATGCTTCAAATTCAAAATGGAGGCCAATGAGGCTGCAAATATGGCAGCCAATCTGGCCGCCAAATTGATAAAAAAAAAGTAATAAACGTCATTTATCCACCAAATTATGTGCTAAAAGCATCAATAAAATTCATTTTTTTACCCTCGCAAATTCATATCTGGTTTTTCTTTTTTGCTATCATGCTTAAAATTCAAGATGGCGGCCAAGATGGCCGCCAGTATAGCTGCAAGAAGAGGTCAAATGTGAGAAAAATGATATATACCAGCCAAATAATATGATAAATGCATATATTTAACTATTAGATATAGGCTTTTAACCCTTACAAATTCATTTCAAGCATTCTTTTGTTTTGCTACCATGAACCAAATTCAAGATGGCTGCCATTATGGTAGCCACAAGATATCAAATTTGACAATAGCCGTTTTTTTGAAAGTTAAGATTATGTATTTGAGACTTCATTGCATGTCTGGACTTGTCATACTTGCAAACATGTTCCAAATTTAAGATGGTGGTCTAAGTGACCGTATTAAGGCCCGGCTTCCATCACCGGCAGGTTTAAGTACAGGTCAGCCGGTAGCTCGACCGGTTAGTTATTTGGCTGATATGTTACTTTTATCGATTTTTTTTTACCATTTTGGATACCAGAAATGAATTTGTTAGGGTCAAAATCATATAACTAACAATTTTATTTATGATTTTATCATATTGTATATTAGGCTGATATATGTGTCTTTTTTCCAGTTTTTACCGTTTTTGGATATCTTGGATATCTCCAGAGCATCGGATTTTTTTTACTGTTAACATCCAAAAAGTGTTTTAGGACCCTTAAATGCAACCAAAAATATGGTGTTGGTTAGTTCTGGGGGAGGGGGTGCACGGGGATACCCCATATACATACTCATCTAATTTGGGCGCGTCATTTACAAAGTGATATGTGTCAATTGTTTTGGTTTTGCTGAAAGAACACTTACCTATTTTGTGATCCGTGAACAAAACTTTAAAATGGTGTTCGTTTAAAAATTCCGTAACTTGAAAAGTACATCAATGATTTGAATGATTTTCGTACGAAAAGATGGCTTTTAATTGGGCTTTCATGAACTTGATTTTGAAAGTGCTACAGGCAGGACTCCATTGAAACAATGGTTCTGCCATTTGGGTTTCCTTTTTTTTTTTGCTCACCCTGTATGTTGAGTATTTTAAATGTCTGTCTGATACAGTGAAACCTCGATAAATCAAACATCAAGGGAACAGGTTAAAAAATTGACTTAAGCAGAGTTTTGAGTTAAGCATGATTGTATATGTTATTGTTAAGGAAAGGTATTGACTCAACAGTTGTTTTGAGTTAGTTAACAGAGTTTGAGATTATTACCCCTTTTCTCCCGAGGAAGCTTTTCAAGTCATCATTATGTTTATTCTATTCCTTGGATTATTCCTTAACTGTCACACTCTACTGGGATGCCGAGAGTGGTGAGTGTGACGTAGTTGCGCCGGGAACGGACGCCCTACTAAACGTGGCAAAGGGCCGCGTCTCGGCCATGAGCACCAACGGCAACACAGTAGCCTCCCTTATGAATGGCGAGATTCGCTTCCTCAACACTGAAACGAAGGCTTACACGTGAGTAACACTCAATGGAGGGGGACACCATTGTCCAAAACCTCCGTGTTATGTATGGAAAGCGATCTTTGATTGTGCAATTACAACTGAAGTCATCAAAACGCTCAACCAATGACAAACAACCAAGCAGTTTTAGTTACGACTGCCAAAATGCTTATTTACGTCCTACGAAACTGCATCGTCAGCCATATCCAATGTGGACGTTAAGGAGAATACACGAGAAAGTGTAGATTCGTAATTTAAGAATTCACGAGGCGCGAAGCGCCGAGTGAATTCGTAAATTAAGAATCCAGACTTGTGAGTGTATTCTTCGACTTAAACCATTGCGTCAACAGAAGTATAAGAAAGAATGCTGCAACCTGACGCCACTTTTGTTCTTCATATATCATCTCAATGAAGGCCATTTGTTGCAAAATTGACAATAAGACATGAATCTGGGACTGATAAATGTTTCCAAAATTGTTAGGAAATACTTGAAATGACTCTCCATAAACGTTGTACACAAGTGCGGAAGTGGCGTCAGGTTGCAACATTGTTTCCTGGCGTGTTTAGCATGTGTATCGCCACATACGTCAAAATGGATAATTGAGACGACGATTTCTTTCTGACTAAAGTAGATTTTGCAGTGACGGCGGAAAATCTGACAGTGAAGATGCATTGGTAATTTTCGGAAAGCAAATTTTCACGCAGACGGTCCTATTCATGCTCATTATGGAGAACAATAATTTGTCCGACGTTTTCAAAGTGTGGATTCGTAATTCCGAATCCACACTTTACTAAAGATTCTTCGTTCCGAATCCACACTTTATGACCAGTGTTAGAGATTCGTAGATCCGAATCCACACTTTTAACAATAGTGTGACGTCATAGCAATGGTTTAAATGACTATATACACACCTTTTAGTTCACCAACGGTGCTAATAATCTGTGTGTATTATCTTCTGAATGATGTACGTACTCTAGCAAGTGCTGAAACAATGGGGTGAAAGTTGGGGAAAAAATCACTCGGGAGGGACTCGAACCCACGACCTCCTGCTTTCTAGTGCAGATGTCTTACCACTCGACCACCGAGCTAACGAATCGGTTGGCTGGTTCGAATCTGATGTACATATCAGCGGGTACCGCAATAACTATTCGTAAGATGGAACTTTGCGTCGGGTGGTGTAAATCCAAATAAAGACTTACACTGCAAGACAACTACCTAATGCAGGGGTGAAGCAAGTCAGTCTTTACTGGAGGGGGTGTCATGCCAAGAGGCACAGTTTCACTGTTGAAGGTCTGAGCACAATAGTTAGGACCAAAGAGGGGGTATGGTGGGGCTATTGAAATCGTCATATGTTTTGTGGCGAAATTGCAACTGTGGTATGCAATACGGTACATGGAAAACTTTGTAATAGTATAAACAATTTTTTTTTCAAAGTAGAGCTCCAAGCGAAGTTCGGAAGGGTGGCGACCCCCCCCCCCCCCCAGTTTGGTTAGTTTAGTGTACACGCATGAGCAAGCTTAGTAGCATTCAAGATCTCAGATCTAGTCTTAAGAGTCCTTCCAGAGAACACGTATTTCTGTTCCCCCAGACATTTTCCCCAAGGGACAGAATTACCATCATGATTTCACATGATGACCGAGGCTATTGTTTACATACAATCGAGAAAAGGTATTTGGTAATAATTCGGCAATTTTGTTTTTGATGTTTGCAAATGTAAAATATTTATTTCCTTCCTTCCAATTCAAATCTTCCTAAAACGTAAAAGTATTTGTTAATTGCAGAGATGAAAGGATCGAACTTGACAACCAGGCAAAATGCATAACAGCCAAGGGAGATTTGATGGTGGTCGGCACAGTCGGAGATGTAAGTCTGAATTCTCAATAACTTAGGGAGACTTGCAGACATCTCTAACAGTGTCATTAATGTGCCTGACTGTCTCTTGTACTCCTTAACCTTCCACAGATTTGCATGTTCAAGAATAAAACCAAAGTTGACTCGAAGGTGATCGGCTACATTGCCAATGCGGCCCACTTGAGTCCCATGGACTTTTTGGCTGTGGGCGGAAGCGTAAGTGTTCCTTCCTTTGAATAGCTTCTGCAATACATTTACTGTAAATACACCCCCCACCCCCCCCCACCCCCCCCCCCCCAAAAAGAAGTAAAAATAAGGATCTACACTAATTAGCGTTTTTCAGAGAAGAGAAGATCCGAGCGAGCGTAGGGTTATCAATGGCAACGTTCCTTGATAAACTTTCAGAGTGTGTGCATTTTCTTAATAGTGGTGTGGCATAGGAACAGAATTGTGGATTTTACGATACAAACATGGAACTTGGCATGTGAGGTCTTCATACCATGACAAAGAATTTAGATATGGAGGCATTTTATATCTGACCACTGGTGACCTCGAGGGGTCAATGACCTTTGAATACTATATACCTATTGTTATTGAAATTATCACTTTCCTATTACCTAAGTCTATGTATAGTCTTTATACAATGTTAATAACGACCAAATGCAGGGACATTTCAAAGTTGACCTATAATGACCTTCCAACGGTCAATGACCTTTGTATTATTTTTCACGATTAACCCTTTAAACCCCAACTTTTTCAAGACCCAAGTCATAATGTCAAGTGGCTCGTGCTATGAAAAGAATTTCATTTGTAGGCAATTTCATATCGGACCTCTGAGGGCCTTCAAGAAGTCAATGATTCGAACTTTGGGTATCCTATATATAGATAATAAGAGGATTAACTATTCAAACACCACTTTTCTGTTACCCATATCTATATTTTGGGTATTATTGCCATGATATGAATTTTCATATATGTGGACATTTCATATCACACCTCAGATAACGTTTGCGAGGTCAATGAACCGTATACTGATTGCCGTATACTGATGTATTATGTTTAATCTTTCAAATGCCAAGTTTTCATGATCAAAATAGTGCAAAAGGAGTGTATTTTAATATTCATTCTACAGCATATGAAGTCAGACCCCAAATATTTTTTGCACGACCTCTGATCTAAATTTTCCTTTGTATAAGGGGAGATGCAGGCGCAATATAACAGAGGCATATCGGAAAAGCATCACTCTCAAACAGTGACCATTGGGCTTGGTAAAAAGGTTTAAAACGCGGTTATCCAAGTCCTTTTTGATACAACAGGGTGTAATAAGTAACCAAGAAAGAATATTGCTTAACAAAATGTACTTTTTCCAATTAATAAACAGACTTACAGATTTCTATCCAATTTAATCATAATGCATCTGCCAATAAAACAAGGAAAACCGAGGTCAGAGGTCACTTTTTGTCTGTGAGGTATGAATTCATAACGTGAATGTAAACTAATAGGTGCAGTACCGTTCTTCGGCACTATTGAGGCTTGTTAATATGATAAATCACGGCAACTATTGATATACTATTTTATTATTATTATTTATTTGACCTCAACGAAGAATTACAAACAGTGATACAAAACCAAACAAAAATTACACAATGGTGGATGAAAGCGCACAACAAAAGGAACGTATAAACATGTAATTTAAATTTTTTAAAAAAGATCATAAAGTTGAGGGCATGTACTTTAAATGACAGCTGGGGTCCCAAACTGAAGGTTGAACAATAACCAATAAGGCACAATAAAATCACAAAGAAAACGATTATATGGCTCAGGGACCGCAAAATCGAATTAATCACTATTGCTCGGAAACATGCGGACCCGCACATAATGATAAACGAACAGGACAAAAAAGGCAAACAAAATACACAAGAACAAAATTACAAACGGCAGGAAAATAACACAATAAAGAGAAGCACGAAGATTAACTTTAAAATTAAAGGGAATGTACATCATTGGCTTTAGCTGTAATTTTCGGAAATGAACTATTTTGAGGGGTTAGTGTAACCCACATAAACAAACTACCAGTGTCACAAAGACTTCTATCTGTTTCGTTTTGATTTAACACTTTAATTCAACACGGATTTCTGAACAACAAATTACTTTTGATTAATCGGATTAAACTACTTAGACCGTATGAATACAGATTTAAGGTATTTAAGAACAACAAGAAAAAATGAGCGCTCAACTTTAATAAAACGTGCACATGTACATAATGCGAACCAGGATCCTGGATTTTCTGTCTCTGTCCTCGCTCTGTGTTCCACTAACAAGGAACAGACAGTTCCAAAGGATATTTGCACGCGTGCTCTAGTTCCAGTCCAGGTGTACTGCTCCTTGGAGAACGGAATCCACCGTAGACTGTCTCCGTACCGTCGACTGGGGAAGAACTCTCCCTCAACAGGTTAATCTCTCTGAAGATGGTCCGGATCAGGGGCACTCTGACAAGGGCCTGCACTTCATGCAGCTCGTCACCTGACGGCTGTGATGTGAGTCGGGAACGGAGTCTCAGCTGAGCAGAACCTGAGAGCTGGGACTTAGCAAAAACTGAGAGCTGAATCTGATGATCCAAACCTGAGATTCAAAGAAAACCAAGCAGACATATAGTATACATGCTACTTTGTAAACAACTTCAAATGTTGCTATACTTTGATAACAATTTCAATTATCAATATAGCTTAGGCATAGCTAATTTTACATTACCCAAGGCTCCATGGAGTAATCAATATAATTGACTTGGGCTCCAGTAAACAGGTTGTCAAGTTCAAAATTTAACAAGAAGTGACAAAAGTTGTCATCCACAATTGTAAATTTTGATACCGACCAAGGCAATAAATCTTCGGTCAGCTCTAAAACTTATCTTACAATATAAAGCAATTTATGACAAAAATAAACATTTTATAAAAGAATATGAACACAATTGTCTTGGTTTTTAGCCTATAAGCATCTTAGCTTTCACCTAACCGCAAACAATTTATAAAACATAATAGTACATATCTAACCCAAAGGATGATGTAAGAATACCCCATCTATAAGCTACTTATGTAAGCACATGCATATCCCCTAAAACAGGACATTATCTACACACACTTTCCTAGAGATCCCCCCAAGCTTCATTTGCATCCCCCAAGCTTCATTTGCATCCCCCAAGCTTCATTTGTATCCAGAATAAGTCCAAAACAGTGTACTAAAAGATCAAAATTAACCTAAATAGTCTGCTTAATATCCCCTACATAATTAAATCTTATTACTCTGAACCACCCTTATCTGCTTATTTTGCATATAACACACTAGCATTGCATATGAATCATTTACATGCACAATGAGCACATGTGGTTCTCAACTAAATCTTTACTATCATGTATTATGAAAATTACAAAAGGTTTAGCTTTACCTGAGAGCCAACAGTTTCAACAGGACTATTTCATCTGTCGAATTGAGCCTTCAAAATAGCGTTTTGGGCCCGTTTTACATGCTGATTGCAGCAGAACGTGAAGAAAACATGGATGCCCCCATGACAGTTGTGATCATGCTTTTTCAGACTGCATCCAGTGTGAACACTAGAGGGCGCTATTTCATTTTTTGGCTGGGCTACATTAGTATAACAGATTAAATATTGTTACCCTGACATGTTTGAAGTTTTGTGTTTAAAAATACTTTAAAAAAATCAAGAAAACCAAAACTGTTCAAGTAGTCTGGCTCCCTGACTCCACTAAAGATAAAATGGATCAATTTATAGATGCCGGAAAATTGTAAGGTAATGGAATCTGTCTAACTGGCCTGCACCCGTTCAAGAACATGTAACCAATAGCAATCAAAATTTGGACTGAAAAAAGGGGAAATTTGGAGCAGTAGTTGAAAATAGTTAGGTTTTTCCAACGGTTTTACAGGATGCTTAAGACTGTCATTTACCAACATCCTAGTAAGGTATTTCGTAACAAATTGGTAGTTTTGTTTTTCGATATTTGCAAATGTTGTATATTCCCTTTAAGTTAATTGCGCTGTAATGTGAGCTGGTAATGGAAGTGTGTCTTGAGACTGGCTAGAAATGAGTTTAGTAAATTAAGCACTGCGAAACCCCGTATTGAAGTAGGTAAGTGATTCCAGAGTCTAGGAAAGCGACGGGTCGGTGAATGGAATAAAGCATCCGGACCAGAAGGAAGGTGACGAAATGTGAGGATGTTTGGATGACGTGGATTAATATGAAGGTTCTCTTGGACAGATTAACAGTGTAGTAGACCATATAATACCTTGAATACAAATGAGCACAGAATGGAATTTCTTCTGGAAGTGAGCATGGACCAATTGAGCTTATGGAGTCTTTCCTCATATGACATTTCCCCCTCCGCTGACCTAGAACAATACGGGTAGCTGTGCGTTGAACACGTTCAAGTTTGTGTTGATCAGCGGATGAATAAAGGTCCCAAGCAAGTAAGCCATATTCCAAAATAGGAAAAACAAGGGACCGGTACAAGCAAAAGATGGCAGATGGAGAATCTCCACGTGCTACTGTCCGGATAAATCCTAAAAGACGGTTAGCTTTGGAAACAATTGTGTTAACATGAGATTTTCAGGTAAGTCTAGAATCAATAACAATGTCAAGATATTGGAATGAGGATGTAGTAGCAAGTGGAGCGTCTCCTAAGATGTAGATCGGGGGTTGGATATTTCGATTCGTAGTGATATGCATGACTTGGGTTTTACTGGTATTGAATGTCATAGAATGTAAATTACACTACTCGTTTAATTGCTGTAAATCCTGTTGGAGGGTATGCTCGTCAGAGGTAGATCGAATAACACGGTACATGAGAATGTCATCGGCAAACATAACACAGCTAGATGACACGGAGTTGGACACATTGTTTATAATAAATTGAAAAGAAGCCGCCACATAACACTACCCTGAGGCACACCTGATGTAACATCAGCCCATGGAGCGACAGCGCCCTGAAAGAGAACCCGCTGCCTCCGACCAGTCAGAAAGGACTTAACCCAATGCCACAAAAGACCCTGTGCATTGTATTCGGTTGCAAGCTTTTTCAACAATGTGTGGTGTTGCATCGTGTCAAATGCGTTCGATATGTCCAGGAACACAGCGTCAATTCTCGGAGGGCGACGTTCATCCAGTGTTGACGACCAAGAGTGGAGGATATTACTTAATTGGGTCACGCAACTCCTGTGCTTGACAAATTCATGTCGGTTGGGATTCAATAGATTATACAAGTTGACATGATCAGAAATGGCAGATGAAATGATTCTTTCAAGGACTTTGCAGAGAATGGATGTAAGTGCAACTGGCCGGTAATTTGTCAAGGAGGTTTTATTGACCAAAATGAACGCCGGTTGTCATTAGAGGAATATATATCATTAACATATTGCCAGCAAGATTTGTGGGTAAGCTTCTTAACATTGTTACGAATAACCTTGTACGAGTTCCAGTCATTCAACAAGCCAGTTCTCTTTGCTTTGTTGAAAAGTTGGTGTTTTCTATTGATGATGTGTTTCAGTTCTAGTGTGATCCGTTTGGTCACTCTGGGGATGGAGTCCTGAATAGCGGTTCAAACAGATCCACTACGTTGTCGGCTGACCGGGTAATATCGTCGGCATCAATGAACGCCGACCAGGGAACCAGATGAATTAGTTGGCGTAAGTGGTCAAAGTCGCCGCAACGGGTCTGTAGAAAAGATCGGAGTGTAGCTAGTCTTGGTGGAGATGTAAAGGAGCGAAATCTGATGTGAATACCAAGATGATCTGAATGGAGAGGGTTCGGTACTGTGGTAACTGATGAGAAGCGGTCAGGGCGATCCGAGAAGACAAGGTCAATAGTCGCACCTTCCATTGGATCAGCGTGGTGGTCAGATGGTTTTGTGACCGACCTTACAAGCTGCTGAAGGTTGAAATCGGCAGATATTTCCAGAAGATGAGATCAATGAGCTGCAGCCGGTCTTTGATGGTTGAAGTCCACGTTGAAATCCCCAACAAAGAGGCACCCATCGTAGTTATCGACGTGAATGGATTCCATCGCCTCTCTAAGTTTGGGCCAATAGGCAGCACTCGAGGATGGGACGATACACAAGACTGAGTAGCCAACTCTCAGATTGCAGTTTGAGAGAAAGCCACATGATGGGCGAAAGTACATAATCTGTTTGGAGTCAAAGATGAACGAACCGCTGTAAGGATTCCGCCACCGCAGCGTCCCTGACAACGGTCCCTGCGGTATATTACGTAGTCATCTGGAAAACCAAGAATGGAGTCGTTGTCATGAGGAGTTAACCAGGTTTCAGTGAGGCAGAGAATATCGGCAGCTTGTGTAGAATGTAGATATATTTGCTGCTCGGGACCCTTATTGCGAATGCTACGGGAATTAGCAAGGAGACATGATAAATCGTTTTGTGGCACTGGATCAGAACGTGGGCCAGGGTTGGGGTAGACATCACCACATACAAATAGGGGAATTGAAAATGTTGCTGATGCGTTCTTGTAATACAGGATACGAGCCTTGCAGTAGCCCTTATGATCAAGGGCCAGTTTGAGTGATACAGAGAAAGGGAGATGACATATCTGACATCATGCTGGGGTGGAATGAATGGTTTCCGAAACGATCAGTGCCAGCCATGTCAAAAAGATCCAACACAATGACACCTATTGTTGTCAATTGTCCTAAGGAATGCCAGTGACGCAATCTTATTGTTCCTTACCGACTTGGGTCCACCGGAAAGATGTCCAAAGCAGCACAGACTATCCCAAAACGCTGTCAGATTTTCCACAATCATCAGAAGGAAACAGCGGTCTGATCTTGGTCCTCTGGTATCACTGATGTTATATTATATTAATAGCAAAGGATCACTCACATTCGGCATACAGAAATAAGGAACTTCGGGTTATCTCAGACACAGATGTAACAGAATGATGACCATAACACAGCACCTTCCTGGCGTTGTTTGAGTTCATTCCTCTCCAATGATATCACTACGTCAAATATTATGTCACCACATCTGAAAATTCTGAAAAGTTTTAGACTTGGGTCATAAAAAGTAGCATTTACAATTGAGAAAATCTTATTAATATCCATACCTAAGTTATGGTTTTACCAAAGTCATGACCTCTCGAAAGGTCACCAGAAATATAACATAACCTATGTATGGACAATTCTCTGTATAGCATGAACACCTTTCATTTAGACATGAATTGTGAAAAAAATGATGGGGTTGAAGAATAAATCTTACAAATAACTAAAATAACAGGTATAAAGGTCGTTGACCTCTAAAAGGTCACCAGAGGTCAGATATGATTTTTTCACACATCCGATCGTTATTTTCCTGGTATGAAGACCTATGACATAGACTTGGGCCATAGGAAAACCCATAAATTTGATGCCAATGAACCTAAACAATACATTCTTGATGAGGTATTCCCGATGAATGGCAGCCATCTTGGATATGCTGCCATCTCGGATTTCATTTTTAATAATGCCGTGATGGAGCTGTGGATGAAGACCGTGATTTATCCAACTGGTAACACCAGTAACCTCTGGCACCAGACAAACAAATGCATTTTTTTCTAATTTGGGGGGGGGGGGAATGACCTTCAAAGCATGAATTGAATATAATATGCGATATTTGCACTGATATCGGACGAGCCAAAGTGAAATGTTACACTTGGACGATATTTGGTTGCTACATCAGGCAACCACGTTAGATCAATCAGTCATGCGATGTGGAAGAAATGTAGGTAAATGCCACCGTAGATTTGCACCGTAAAGATCACTTTCAAGGTCAAAGGTCAAATATGGTCTGAATGTTCATTCATTTGTTAAAAAAAAACATTTAATTGTAGTACAGCGGAGTTATCATTAACAAATTACCATAAAACATTTCACCTCCATGTATGGCGTTAAACCGCAAGAAGGGAATTTCACCTCAACCACTTCATGCTCTAAGCTATTTCCGCATAACTGAGCAAACAATATGGTTCTGGTAAAAGCCAAGTCAATCAACAATGTGGTAAAGAAAGGGGTAATAGGTCTCAAATATCGCTTAGTTGCTCTTGTATCTTTTTGTCTGACCAACAGGACAGCAAGGTGCACATTTTTGACGTTTCAAGGGACACATTGACGGAACTACATCAGCTTCCTGCTTCAGGAAACGTCGGCGCGGTGCAGTTTTCTAGCAACGGGACGCGCCTGGCCTGCGGTGATGAAAGCGGGCAAATCCTGGTCTGGACAGTCAGTAGATTTGGTGATCGGTCGATTCTTCTTCAAGTACGTACGATACCGGTTACTGGTTCCACGCACGCAAAATATCACTGCAAAGCGCGTATATTTAGTGGCGTAGCCTGGTTCCCAGACGAAATGATGCTGACTGTTGAATGTTCAATAACCGACTTGGCGAAAACGTTTTCTATTTGTACACAACATATTGGTATGGGAATATTTTGAATCGCTAGCGAATTCTATGCGAGCACTCTGATTGCTTTAGATTCCAGCGTGTATTCTAGGCCGCTACGGAAGGTCATTCTCATTACTTCGAGGGTTTGTGCTTTGTGTTGTGTTACATTCCAAAATTCATTATAGGGCAAACACGACTCAAATAAATCAAGTATATCACAATGATACATTTTATTTCTATACAAAATTGACCAAGCTGAGGGATTTGGCCGTTAAAACGTCGCCTGTTCTGCAAAGATGTCCCGGCGTATTGAGAAGAACTCCCCATGTAACGGAATGAACGAGTCCTCATTTGCAATGCTTTGCGCCATTGGATCTCACCGCATAGATTCACTGCATATGTATTGCGCTGCACGCTTATATGAATATCGTTCCGAGAACGTATCCGTCAAGTCGTTAGATGTGTCGCAACCCGGCCGATTACGTACTAGTCTTATAACAGCCGTGCCGATGGAGTTCGACTGAAGTTCACAGACAAAATACGAATATATAACGACTTGTCATCAAGTCTAGACAGTCCAGGGTTTTGTGGTGAGCCGACCCTTTTCATATACTTCTGCTGGCCCTGGAGGGACATCGCATATCGCAAACGTGTGCGCATACGTATGCGATGTCGCGAAATTTATCGCGAATGTGTGCGCACACGTATGCGATGTCGCAAAATTTATCGCGAATATGTGCGCACACGTATGCGATGTCGCGAAATTTATCGCGAATATATGTGCACACGTATGCGATGTCGTGAAATTAATCGCGAATATGTGCGCACACGTATGCGATGTCGTGAAACAATTCGCGAATATGTGCGCACACGTATGCGAATTTGTTTGCAATGTCGTGAATTTTATTGCATACCTTGTCGCATACTTTTCAGTAAAATTCCTAATGAACTGGGGAGTTGTAGCAGCTAGTCTGGAAATTTGCGCGCGCAAGTTTCAAACTTGCGCGCGCAAATTTCAAAGATGCACAAGTAGCAAGTTTGCGCTCGACAGTACGAGTAGTAACGATTGCACGAGGAACAGCGTGCGCGCGAAGGTTTATTAGTCAGACCTTATTTATATCTAACAGTACGTCTAGATTCCAGACTAGCTGCTACAACTCCCCAGTTCATTAGGAATTTTACTGAAAGGTATGCGACAAGGTATGCAATAAAATTCACGACATTGCAAACAAATTCGCATACGTGTGCGCACATATTCGCAAATTGTTTCACGACATCGCATACGTGTGCGCACATATTCGCGATTAATTTCGCGACATCGCATACGTGTGCGCACATATTCGCGATAAATTTCGCGACATCGCATACGTATGCGCACACGTTTGCGATATGCGATGTCCCTTCAGGGCCACCATATATACTACATACAAATATGTAAAAGTTGAAGTCAAGGGGGGGGGGCTGGTACCATCTGTCGATGGGGTTGCTGTTCAGAAACGACGATTATGCACACAAAACGGCCAATAAATAGTGCTTTTCAGGGCGATGCATGTGCGAAATTCAGTAAAAGGCACCTAAAACAGCACATGCCACAAAAAAGGGCACAACCTCTTTAAAAAAGGGCAGTTTTTCCAAAAAAGGGCACTTCTTCAAAAAGGGCACTCTTTAAAAATTATTGGGGAGGTATACCCCGTTTAAAAAGAGGCACTCGAATGAAAAAAAAGGCAGGCTTTACAAAATATGATGCCGGGAGTGTCTACAAGTTTACAATTTCCTCCCTCATCACCAAAGGAATCTACTCGTACTTTATCGAACGGAGCCTATATATGCCGATCCGTGTCCTTCACTTAAATCTATAGACTCTGCAGTCAGTTTCTGGCTATATGTTTTGAAGGACGTCTTTACCAAGGCGCAGAAAAAGAAATCAGTTAGAAGTGCGACCGCTTTTAAAACCAACGCAGAAGACTTTATTTTAACAAATATAAAATGACAAGGATCTATATATGTCACTTATAATTTTAAAACAAATATTGAGTGGCTTGAAATTGTGAAATGGGAGGAATATTATTGCTCGTTAAAATCTGGACTTTTCCATTTCACTCAGCTTTGCCTCGTGACATGGAAAAGTCCGGATTTTACCCCGCGATGATATTCCTCCCATTCCACTCTAAGACTCTCAATAGTTGTGTAATATTATCAGCCAGGGAATTAAGGATGCCATCTACAAACCTGTTCCGATCAATCCGATGATTCGTTCCATCTCGATTGCAGGCTCTCACGTCAAAATCGTTTCGCGGTTTGCCATTCCCACGGACTTTCCCATCATTAACTCTTACCGCATGGTGCATCAAATTCAGGGGTGCTCATCTGGGTGATGTTGTCCTATAGCAGGAACGTGGTCTTCAACTAAGTATCTGTGCGTCAACCATCTGGAACTTTTAGCAGTTTTCAAGGTCCCTAAATCCTTACAGAAAAGAGTGGCAAACTGCATAATACTGGTCAAAACAGACAACTCTACAGTTTTGTCTTACTTGAACCGTCAGGGAGTGCACGCTGACGTCAGAGCTTTTGAGTTTGTGCATCCTTCTACACATTTCACTACAAGCCCCCCCCCCCCCCCCCCCCCTGTCTGGCAAAGACAACGTCATTGCAGGTGCGCTATGTTGAGGCCGTATGATTCCCTCAGAGTGGTCTCTCCATCCCTAACAGTGCAAGTTTTCAATACTATGGACACTTCACACATAAATCTCTTTGCATCTCATCTTGACAACCAGATGCCAACCTTCTGCTCCTACCACGCCCACCCTCAGTCTTGGGCAACGGATGCACTCCGCATGAGCTGGTCGGGGTTCCTGGGTTATGCCTTCACTCCAATCTCCTACCACGTGTCTTAGAGAAGATAAGCCAGGAGAGATGCAAGATAATTGCATACATTTGCTCCATTCTGACTCCTTGACCTCCTAATCCACCCGCCTATTGTCTTGCATAAACCTCAAGACCTCCTGATGCAACCAGTCTCCAAGGCACTTTATCCAGAGCCATACAGTCTCCATCATACTGTCTGGATGCTGTCAAATTGTGCTTCCGACCAGCAGGTTTTCAGAGATCGCTGCCGCCCTGGCAGCAAAGAGTAGACGGTATTCACCAAGAATACCTTATTGCAATCCTTACAGCATTATGTCAAATTGTGTTCCTAAGAAAATGTCAATCCCAATTTTGCATCTTTAAAGAACATTGCGGATTTCTTCGTCCGTTTGCATAATTCTGTCTTCATATTGGCAATTTGTGGCTGCAAATTGGCTATTGGGGTTATCAAAGAGGGCTTTCGGGATGGTCCGACCTGTGCCACAATACCCTGATCTCCCATCGTATTAAGGGTATGTTCGTCGAGAGATCGCCAATGAAGAACCTGACTCCATCTTGGGACCTTGATGCTGTACTGCACAAGTTGGCTAAAGACTTCTTTGAGCCTGCTGGGTCCTCTTCTCTTCATTATCTGACAGTTAAAACAGCCTTTCTGCTGGCAGCTTCTACAGCAGGTCGAAGAAGTGAACTCCATACTCTCTCCATAGCCGTAGGCTATTAGGCTGGGAACTTGAAGGCGTTCGTGCCAAATTCCAGAGATAAAGTGTCTCTTCCAGCTCTTGGGTTTGGCTATATCAGCGATTTTGCAGATAGCAAAGAAAAAAAATAACTATCCACTTTTACATCATGCTATCTGCGAGATGATCTCCAAGTGGACGGCCGGATGGGCAAACGTAGATCTCGTAAAGCTACTGACCCATCCTCCTTGGAGCATAAGGTTGTCAGCTTACGGGTATGGCTTAACAGCTTAAATTGGTTTACTCATATGTCTTCCAATTAGGCGTTGTTAAGACATTTAGCCTCTGAGCAGTGTTGGAGTCGAGTCCTCAAAACCGAGTACAGAGTACTCCGAGTACTTTGGGGGCCGAGTCCTGGGTGAGTCCAGGTACACTGTGACGAGTCCGAGTCCAGAGCACCGAGTCCGAGTACATTCAAAGCGAAGCACTGGGCCGAGCCGGAGTACCTAAGTCCAAATCCGAGTCCCAGTCCGTGTTCGAGTACAATACCAAAAAAAACAAAAAAAACAACAAAAAAAACAAATAATAATAATACATTGAATAAAATAGAAACAAACACAACGTGCAATCTAATCGTCTTTACCAACTGGTTAACACTAAACAACTTATATTAGTGTAAAAAATGTAAACATAAAACATAAAACAAAATTCATCAAATCAATGAACGAACTGGCACTTTTTGTTTTCACATTTCTTTAAAAAAGACACCAGAAGTATTGGCTATTTTGAGGAAACCTTTGAGCGAACATAAGAAACATGAGCTTGGCTGCTCCTGATTCACGAATCCTCAGTGTTACGACTTCGAATCTTAGTAACATTGGGGAAGCGTACGAGCACTCCAACACTGCTTCTGTGTCCATGCTGCATTATGTCCCCACCTTGCATTAGGGGTTGCTACTCTGCATATTTTCTGCAATAGAATCTTCCAAATCTACAAAGACTTTATACTCTGATGAGAAAATACTCACCTCCGATACCATCCCCAAAAGAGAGAGATAGGTGAGATTTATCTTTGGAATCCTGGGACTTACAGGGTGTGTGTGAGTTTGTTTCTGCATTCAATAGCGGATGTTGAACAATAAAGGACAATAGGTGCCAACATTTCTTGAAGGTCCCGAATTTGGCGAGGTGTACAAAACATATAGGAGGTCTTCCTAAAAAGTTAGTACAAACAAAGGAGAGATAATAGGTGGTCCACGGGTGCAGGCAAATACACACTTGTGTGTGTGCGCGCGTGATTATGGTGTAAATTGAGGACACACACGTGCAACATCATCGATAAATCGAGGGCAGAAACCGAATCGAGGACTCCTTGGTTGAAAAACGTGTACAAAAGAGAAACCAATCAGAGCTGTTGTGAAATGAAAAGTTAGACTATAAACAAAGGAAAAGTGAAGCGGAACAAAAGAAAATTCTCGATTTACACCATAAACAAACGTGTATGTGTACAAGCATTACATTTACTGTGTTGACTTCCGAACAAAAGATGTCCACATAAAAATAAACCAGATAGTAGCGACGTTGTGTTGACTTGCCCACGTCCACGCGTTGCGGCTATGGGGTACATCAATTTCTAAAGACAGACTTGCGGGGTACCATTGTACTCCCTATTGTTGCCCTTTGTTCCCGGTGCCCCATAATGGCCAATATGTAAGGGTACCCATACATGTTTACGTTACATACCTAGTGTGGATATTCTTTTGTTTTCGTGTAGTTTAGAAAACCCTGTGAAAACATTTTTCTCACACTGTGAAAACTCTTTCAACCCAATTTTTTTCTATGATTCCCTTGTTTCTTTTCATTTTGCCATGCCTCTAAACCTGCTTTCCAGAGAGGGGGAAATATTGTGTGAGTGTGTAAACACCGGCAATCGTGGACCCCCTACTGTCCCTTATCCTCATTCCTTTGTGTGTACACTAACTTTTTAGCAACAGCTCTTATTGGTTTTGTACACGAATTTCAATCGTGGACTATCGGTCAATCGTGGACGTATTGTTTGTGCCGGCCTTATACCCTTTTGTTCTAGGTCCACGATTGCCGGTGTTTACATACTCACACAATATTTCCCCCTCTCTGGAAAGAAGGTTTAGAGGCATTTTTGGTTAGATGTATCGGTTGCAAAGTGAAGAGAAACACTTTAGAGAATCATAGAAACAAACTGGGTTGAAAGAGTTAACAGTGTGAGTAAAATGTTTTCATGGGTGCTCTTACATATTGGCCATTATGGGGCACCGGGAACAAAGGGCAACAATAGGGAGTACAATGGTACCCCGCAAGTCTGTCTTTAGAAATTGATGTACCCCATAGCCGCAACGCTATGTATTTCGAGATTTCTAAGGGGACAAAAGAGAACAAAAGAAGGGAATTAGCTGTATGCTTAGTGTATGAGTGCTAGTGCGTGTTATGGTGTAAATCGAGGACACCCACGTGCAGCATCAACAATAAATTGAGGAGGAACCAAATCAAGGACGACTTCCATTAGAAAGCATACGTGTACAAAACATATGGAAGTCTTCCTAAAAAGTTGAAGTACAAACAAAAGTGGGACAATATGACGTCCACGATCACGACTGGTTGTTTGTGTGAGTAGGTTCGTGGTGTAAATCGAGGACACACACGTGCAACATCATCGATGAATTGAGGTCAGGAACCAAATAGAGGACGACCTCGTTTAGAAAAAGTGTACAAAACCAATGAATGAGAGCTGTTGCAAAAAAAGTTAGGAGTATAAACAAAGGAAAAGGGAAGAGGAACATATACCATAAACAAACGTTGGTGTGTGGACATGTAAACAAAAGATGTCCATATAATGTAAGTTGTGTTGACGTTATGTGGACTAAGCCGTGTCCACATAACATTTCGCCCTCTCTGGAAAACAGGTTTAGAGGCATTTTCGGGTTAGGGTTATTCGTAGCAGAATGAAGAGAAACAATCAAGGAAATCAAAAACAAAAATTGGGGTTGAAAGAGTTTTCACAGTTTAAGTAAAGTTATTTTTTGTACCGAGTTTTCTTAACTACATGAAAACAAAGGAGTGTCCACTAGCGTATGTAACACAAACATGCGCGTGTGTGTGATGGCGTAATGCTCTTTTTGTTATTAATCGTCGGCGGAATTGCTTGTGAATGCGCATTAGAATTGCATTTATCGGAGGTGAGCATTTTCAAGTTAGCATAAAGAATCTCTTTAGATTTAGGAGAATTTTAGGCACCATTGGAAAGCTCTTGTTCCATAAATGTAACATTAAAAAATTCATTTTAGGGCATACACGACTCAAATAAATCAAGCATATCACAATGATGCATAATATTTCTATACACAATTGACCAATTAAGCTGAGTGTATTGGTCATTAAAACGTCGCCAGATCTGCACACATGTCCCTGACGTAATGAGATGAACTCCTCATGTAACGAAACGAATGAGTCGTCATTTGCATAGGGGTGCAGGATTGGATCTCACCGCAAAAATGCACCGCATATGCATTGCGCTGCTTGCATATATGAATAACGGTGCGAGAACGTAAGCGTCAAGTCGTTAGATTTGTCGCAACCCGGCCGATTACGTATTAGTCTTATACCAGCCGCGCCGATGGAGTTCGACTGAAGTTCTAACGATTTGTCATCAAGTCTAAATGGTAATATACTTGGGACCAGTCTCAAAGTACGGATAAGCTAATGACTTTCTGTTTTTTTAAGAACCTTTGTTCATTTCATGGATGCTGAGGAAAGCTGTAAGCTCTCAGGCCCTGTCACATTGTCACGCTGTAGCCTCCCGCGACAAGACAGTGCTGAGACGCAAGACTCGACGACATCGTGAAACCCAAACGACATCTGAACTTTATCGGAACGACTTCTTGAGCGTCTTTAGGCATCATACAGGTCGTGCATGGTCGGTAGTGGAGCCACGATTAGTTTCAACAGTTGAAACACATCGCGATGGTTGACAAAAATCCTAAACGGATCAAAGTATGTTCTCTGTCTGTACTCAAACGGTTGCGTCGTAACGGTGTCGTAACAATTCGTAACGAAATCGCAATAGTCGATACGAGGTCGGCAGTGGTCTTACAAGGTCGGCCAATCGTTTTAGCCGACTTTGATACGACCATTACGACGTGACATTCCGAAGATGACATCACTCTGTCTTTTTGGCATCGGTTTTTGGTATTTTGTGTCGGTACTAAGTCGGTTGCGTTGGTACTCTGTCGGCTCAGTCATGAAAAAAATCAGTTGAATGGATCCAAGTCTTTGCGAAGTCGTAGTGAAGTAATATTCGGTTCGAGGTCGTTTCGGAGTGGTAGTATTCGGGACGACATCGTAGGAAATTTGAATTTGGTGCCACTTTTCATACGTATTTTGTACGATGTTCAAGAAATGTTCGTGGTCTCGGCGGAGTCTTGGTCATTGGTTTGGGATGTGTGACAGGCTTTACTCTAGCTTACTCTAAATGCAAACACAGAATGTTGCTTAAGTGGTGATGCATTTCTTGGGCACTAAATATGCTAAGGGAATGTGCTTTACCAGTTTTAAACAAGTACGTTTAAAACCTCCGTCTCAATTCAAGTCACAAGCTTTTCAAGTGAATGGTAACGAAGGCATTCCTTTGTCACTGTTTAACCCCTGTTTCATGTGACTGGACTTGTAAAAAGACGTATAAAAGTACTTGTGCAGGACTCGACTACGACACAGATGCAAACGTTGCAATTTTCAGTGTCAACAAAATGGCCTACTTTCGATCCTTAATAACTCTGTTGTTTTCCAATAACCAAAATCTCAGATTATGTAAAATTGACATGATCATATAACAAATTTTATGGAGCAATTATTATCAGTTTTGTGACAGGACGATCAAGGACGATAGAGGTGTGCAATGACATCAGGGGTAATCCTGTTCCAGCAGAAGCTTCCAGTCGCTGCTGGAATAGGTTCAGCCCCGTCTCCAGCGCTGTATCGACATTGGAGGACGTCAAGTCGAAAGTGGCACATTCTGATAGTAATTTATTTTTTTCTGCACGAAACGGATGAAAGTCGCTCCAAAACAAATTGTCATGCCTCCTTTACATGATCTGATAATTTGGTTTAATTCCATTGGAAAACATCACAGTTATTACGGATCAAAAGTGTGACTTTTTTTGGACACGTAGTGCATTCCCCGCCTTGATCGTAAACCCGTTGCCTTGGCTTGTCTTTAGGTGGTACGGAATTCCTGGTCTGGCCACGATAGAATCCTGTCGCTCAGTTGGAATCCTGAGGGCAAGCGCATTGCCACGGGAGATTCGACAGGCGACATCGGCATCTGGGATGTAGACAACCTTCAAGAAGGCAACCTGATCTTGGGTAACTTACTGTCGTTTTCTTTCCATGGAAAGTTTTGAAGAAACAGCAACTTGAAAATTTAGCACAAGTAGGTCATCAAAGTTTCCTTTGATTGTGTGCCTATTAATTTTTCCCCTCACACCTGCCCCTCCCCCTACTCCCCGATGTCACGTTTTTTATGCCCCACGGTGAGGAATTTTGGTCACTCAAAGACAGTGTTATCATTGCCGTACTGCATGGAAGGGCAATCACAAGTGCCCTCCACACAAGTAGGCTATGTCGGGGATGTCATTTAAATTTTGCCCGAGGGGTGGGCATTTTGTCACTTCAAAAGCGACAATCCCCACGTCTAGGGTGGGGCAGCCCGGGGAGGGTGGGAGAAACACTTGATAGGCGCATTGGTGATTTCGTTCGACAACTTTATAACTGATTTTTTTTATTCAATTCCCTCTTCCGTTTCCAAAACCTGTTCATGCTTTTTACATTGTATTTCAAAATTGTTACTTTACAGTGAGAAAATTACCTCGCAGCAGCCACTGGGTTATACAATTCTTCACATTTTCCAAATATGGGCATAATTTTTTTTCAATAGGCCAATTACGCCAAGCTTCCATGTAATTCTCACCCCTACTATACACCACAAGCCTGTAGACTCCCATTGGCCAGACCCTAGCCACTCCGGAGTAAGGACTGTTGAAAGACAGAAGCCAAGATGGCGCCTAATGCCTTTGTGCAGTAATTGGAGATCTTAGTGGCCAACCCCTAAGTGCCGCCGATCCCTTTGTGTCAACCCCTCGTGCCGCTCAGACAGTTTGTAAACAATCCGTGGCCATGTAAATGACCCTTAATCTTGTGCATGTACAGGCATGCCAGGGTTATTGACCAAAAAGCACATGTGGTGATAAAATTCTCCACTTGGTTCCACCACGTAAATTTTTACTAGATCCCAAGTATTGACCCAAGAATAATAGATAACCGGATGTAAACGGACATACAAATTCTAAGATAACATAAAATGGCCATCTTAGTCTTGTCATGAACTCTAATTCACAATATATGGGGATTAAAATTGCTTTGGACTTGCAGGAGGGGGTTATTGACATAAAAAAAACTGGGTGGTATGAAAATCTCTATGTGGGTCCACCGCGTAACTTTTTTGGTCTCCCGGCTCTAAGGGTTAAAGAAACTGTTCCGATGATGCGACATTACATAGGTTATGTATAAAAAAAATCATAAGCATTCCAACATTAGGACTGCATGTAAAATTAGAGCATTAACCATTTTGTACATAAAAACAAGCATTATATTCACTGTGTGGACTTCCAAACAAACGATGTCCTTACATTTCATAACATTTTTTTTTACTTTATGTCTTCGGACAATAATTAAAAATCTATTTAAAAAAAGAATTGTACTGGTCTAGACAACAGTTTGTAAAAACTGTCATCAAAGATGTGTCAGACCACACGTATTGTGTGGAATTTCCCATGCACGTCCACACAAGGTTCCCCCTCTCTTGAAAACAGGTTTAGAGGCATTGGGGGTTAAAAAAGAAGAGGAACACTGAAGGGAATCATAGAAAATAAATTGGGTTGAAAGATTTTAACAGTGGGAGTAAAATGAGGTTTTTTCACAGGTTTTTCCTAATTAATTACACGAAAACAACAAATATCGACACTAGGTTTAAACGTAAACATGGATGTGTTATGTTATGTGTTATCTCACATTTAAAGACAGGAAAGAAGTCTCTTTGACTTAAACTTATGTCCACTTTTCTGATTTTTTTTGGCATGCCAGAGGCCCATCCATTTTCTCCAGTCACTGCGGTTGCATGGCGAGACAACACCACCGTCGTGTCTGCGGGACACGACAATTGTATCAAGCAATGGACGGTCTAGAAGACATGGAGTCAGAGGTCATTCTCAAAAATCCATTGGGCAACAAACTAGCCATTTTTTGCAAATGGAAGGATTTGTTGATTGCTGTTATTTTTGTCCCTTAGCGAATATATAAAACCAACGAAAAAGCATAAACAGTTAGTCTAAGGATAAAAAATGGTTTTGCATATTTTTGAGAAACACTTGTGTAATACAGCACAATAATTATGTTTAAATATTTTACTCCACAAGGATTGGTGCAAGAATTAGGCAAGCATTAATCAACATGATTGGTAAAAAAAAACCGGAAAATATTACTGCTTTTTGGGGGTACTTTTTTAAACATGTTTAAAATCTTTACATAGTGCAGGAGTAAAATTTGACACTACAGAAGCTATGTCAAGTTTACCCCCATAACGACCATGTTCTATTCTTACTGCGGAGTACAATTTTACCAAATATTGCCTATTTTTTATAATATATTAGTGTGCAAGGAGTCCATCGGTGGAAGTGGCATTAAGCGCACGCGTTCCACCGGCAAACAAGCGCAGCTAAGCCACTTTCATCAATACCAATGCTTTTAGGAAAAAAAAATATACAGACCATAAAAGCAAGTTCGTGCGCAAACAATCGTTGACCATATTTCAACTAACTTCATTCGAACAAAGGCTGGTTCCAATGCTGGTTACCCATAGCTGAGCACATGGCAGTTCACAACAGGGAACCAGGACCAAAAGGTTTCATGGTGATGTTTTGGCCATCGTTTGACTAGAAGCCGCCTCTCATAAGAAGTGCACGCAGCAAAATCTTAAGTTCCTGCTGATTTTGTTGAATTAGTTTATGATTCTCTATATGTTAGAAATGTTAGAAAGAGAGATTATAATAGTATGCCACAAAGATACTTTAAAGATACGCCTAAAAATTGGGCTTTTGGGGGCACCTTATGATACCTTTAATGCATTAAATACTACGGAGTTATATGTGTATGTCAATCTTTTTCCAGAATATCGAATCTTAAGTAAGTTCTTACCTGAGGCAAACGATTTGAAAACCTTCAGGGTTCTATGCGCAAACAGTAGGCGGCGCTTTTTGATCAACTTTGAAAGTTTCAGTGGAGGGACACAATTTGTGCACGTATGTCTTCGTACTCTTTTATGTTAAGTAGGCCTATGCTATTTTTTTTCAAATTGGGAAGATTGAAGCTTTGATTTTAGCTTCTTTAGAGCTTTGTTATATAGTTAGACGATAGACTTTTAGTTATCTTGAATGAAATTGCAGGGTTGTGGAAAACACTAAAGATATACGATTTTTAAAAAATTATGCTCCTTTTTCAGCTTTGATTTTGGTTGCTGTCATAGTTCCGACAGATGTTTATTTCTTTGTTATCTTGATAATAGTAAAAAATGCTGTATTTTTAATTGGTGTTCATCAGTTCATTATTCCCAATTATATAATATATTATACCAAGGGTGATAGTAGTGATATATACTTTAAATATTTTGAGGTTATGGACAAAAGTGAAACGGTAAAAAGAATGGGCGTTATTAAAGATAGTTTGACGTGTTTTCAAAGGGATTTTTACGTGACTTCCCTGTTTACTGGGATGCGACAAGTTTGCATTACAAATTGAAGACTGCTTTTAAGCAAAAGGTTTACTGGCATCTATTCTTTTTATACAAATGCAGTTTTACTTATCATGAGACTACATATTCATGTCAGCCATGTTGCATATATAGAGCTACCAAATACGGCTAACAGCGTTTTGCCATCCAAATGGATAACCGGCTTAATTGTATTGCCCTTGCATCTGATTGGTACTAGGTTTCTCTTTGTATTTGTTTTTTGTGGGAGATTTGAATTTGGTTAGCAAGTTTAACGCAATATGCAGTGTAGGAGCTCCGTGAAGTTTTCTCGTATCTTTTTGAAGTTGTTCAGTTTCACATTTTAATGGTGTTTACTATAGGTACAGAAGGGATAAAACAATATTAAACTTAAACTGGCTTATAGTTGTGAAGCAAGTATCTGAAGACTTCATTTGTGTGTGTTTCATTTACCCGATAGGAGTAGACTCGTTCTTTTTTAAGTACTGAAAATGTACTTGAAATGAGACCAAACACAAGTGTAATTCTGGGCTGAGTTCTTTATTTTTTACAAAATGATTTTTTTGGGGGGCGTGGTGTTGTGGGTCTAACCCTCCATAAATATTCTGATAACTTTTGTCCATGATTTTCAATGGACATTTGTCACCTGCCCCTACAAAACCTAGACAAAGTTGACAATTTTTTTAAAATACAAGGTGAAGTAAGTATCTGAAGAAACCAAACATCTGTCTGTGTGTCATGTACCCGATAAGAGTAGGCCCTTTTTTTCTGGTACACAAAAATGTACTTGAAATGAGGCCAGACACAAGTGTAATTCTGGGACCATTTACAAAATGTATATAGGCTAGGGACAGATAGCGCTTTCAAGGACCAACAACTGCACATCGATAACTTGAATTCACAACTCACATCTAACAACTGCGCAGTTGTTAAAACCTATCTTGTCGTAAAATATGTTTTTCAAAAAAGAGCAGTGACGCGACATGACTTATTATGCTGCATTTAGAGAGGTTGTTGGTTACCAATTAAGAAGGCGGCGACGATCATCGTGTTCAAAGGCCGCTTGCAGTCACGCAATGAATGGTCCAGGCTTGCAATCACAGTGCTTTAGCTATGGACATTCCCGAGGGATTGGAATGGTAATGGTCAAAATGTAGATCATTGCTCTATGGTTTAAACCTCCATTATTAATTCTTTCAAGCCCGTGTCTGTGATTCTCAAATCTTTTAAGACCTTTAGGACATTTGTGTAAGAGAAGTTGTGCTGGAGTTTCAGTGGTAATTTTGGGACAATATTATTTCTCTCACAAAGATGTCACAGGTTTTGCACCAAAATGGGAACATTTCCGTAACTGAAGTAAAAGAGTAAGAAAACACTTGAAGGGGGGGGGGGTGTTGTCCAACGTCGGAATATGCTATTTTCATTGTAGTCTTTCTTAGTAGTGTGGACATTTCCAGAATCGAACCGCTTCCAATAATCGTATGTTCGATCCTAAAGGTCCACAACTGACGATCGTGTACAAAACATATGGGAGGTGGGGGGGGGGGGGTAGATTGAAGGTGTTTACACACTGGGGTACGTGTGTGTGCTCTAACCTTCTATACTCTTTATGGACCTGTGAACAAATTAAAGAGGTCGACAGGGTGCAGGAAGTGTTAATGCTTTGTGGCCTTCCCTACGTCCACACTAGGTTTCCCCTTCTCTTGAAAACAGGTTTAGAGGCATTTTGTGGATGAGTTCATGTGTCGCAAAATGAAGAGGAACATTCCAGAAAATCATGATAAAAAAATGGTTTGAAGAGTGTTCACAGTGCGATTGAAGTAAGTTTTTTCTTCGGTTTTCTTAACTACACGAATACAAAGGAATGTCCACAGTAGGTATGTAGGATAAGTTTGTGTGAGTTTGTTTCTGCATTCAATACTTACTAAATACTAGCAGTTATGAGGTGGTATAGTGCTTACATTTCTCTGACAAAATATCAAAAATAGATTGGCTATAAACTCGCCGGGAAAACAAGTTGCCCTAATACTCCCCTTGTTATTCACATAAAATTGAAGCTTGATTTAACGTCTTTCACAATTTGCTTTACTTTATTTCTTTATTTCTTTATTTTTCTTTTCTTTTTTACCTTTTTTTAAAGGGGGGGGGTAATGGTGGTTTTCAGTAACTCGGGTTTGTCGGCGTATGAGGTCTTTTTATTGTCGTTCAACCACACATGACAGGATCATTGCTTGCTCACCTTTGGTTTTCAACTAGTAAACTATCACGTATTTCAATAACTTCTGTCGAATATTCTTATTTTAAATTTAAGTATTCGTTATCTTTAAAGGTCCGTTATCATGGTCATGTTTTATCGAAATATCTTCAGTCCGCATAGTAGTTGCTTTGTATAAAAAGATTCAACCAGTGAATGTATCTTTTGTCTGCGCAACCCCACACACTCTCCCTCTTAAATCCCTCTTCCAAAAACAAGAACCCTCGATTGTCCCTCCAACACACTTTCACAGATGACTGCATTTTATTCCCAACTTGCACTTCAACAACAACAACAACAGCCCACACTTGAAATCCCTGCCTTCCAATAGCTCCTATCAGGGATCATCACTCCCCGAAAAAATAAGACCTAAAACACTGCCCCCTATACGGTACCCCAACCCACCTTCCACCCTCTACCCAAATATGGACTCACCGCTATAATTTATTCAGATACACTTTGAAAAAAAAAGCAACGTACAGTGAATACAGTCACTGTATTTTTTACGAACCCTAATATTTGTATCTGGCATATAATTGCCTGTATATTCATTTTCTTTATAGCCTACTAAAATTTCATTCATTTCTTGACACAAAGAACAATATTATTATGCAAGTGACGACTGTGTAACGGGGAGTGTAACAGAGCGCATGTGCGTAAAATATAAACTGAAAGGCGTCACAGTGCGAAGAAACTTGACTATACGTACATTAAAAAAGGCCTGACAATACTTATATATGTTTGTACATCTACATGTATTAAATAAAACATCACAAAAATGGCAAGTGATATAAAAGAAACAGATCGCCATTCTCAATCTGTCAGTAAATGGTAGGCTTATATATCGTCACCGTCACCACGAAGTGACACTAACATCGAAAATCGATATTTTAAGATTTCGAGTTTTTTCCAGATTTGTGATTAATTACACACAGTGGCGTAGCCACGGGGGGCGTGGGGGGCGACAGCCCCCCCCCCCACCCCCCATTAAACCTTGTCGCCCCCCCCAGTCGCCCCCCACTGAGATTTTGAGTTTCTAAAAGAATTATCATTGATCTACATGACGCCCCCCCCCATGAAATGTTCCAGCCCCCCCAGCGCCCCCCCCCCCCCACTGAAAAATTCCTGGCTACGCCACTGATTACACATAATCTATCACCTCAAGAAGTTACTAAACACATAGTTAATTAGCTTTGTCAAAACATTAATTAACATTAATGAACGTTTGCAACTTAATGGGTGAAAACCGGAGAATGCGTTTTCACGAAGTGCACTATACCATTCTTTCGCGTATAAAGTGCCTGCACACTACGCGTCAAAAACGGGTTTTGCGTTTTCACGAAGTGACACAAATGTCACGTGATATGCGCGACTCACTTCTGGCGTTTTCACGAAGTAGCGCTAACCCATTAGCTAATACACATGATTAGCGTCACTTCGTGAAAACTCAAACACAGCGTAATCTGAATTTTGAGTTTTCACGAAGTGACCTTATGGTTAATTAGTTTGATAACTCATTAATATTATATGTTTTCAATAAAAATTAAAAAAACATTAACGTGACATTCAAGATCCCAGCTTTTAGGCAATGTAAAAAAAATATGAATTTTGAGGCTAAAACGATGTTCAGATCACCGTTTCAAAACATCGTCAACTTAAATCGCTTGTATCTCGAAACACACATTTTCCACTGCGCGGGGGTTAAGGTCACTTCGTGTTGTCGGTGACGATATAGCAGATGATAACGATGGATACTTATTATTTACCACCTAATTATATAAAGCCTAATGAATGTTCATAAACTACAGTGCTAGTCAAGAGGAAAAATCGCCCATTCCCACTGCCCTATCATAGGGCGCTGCAGTGGTGACCGCCACTTCTTTCACAAAAGCAAACGTCAAAATGCATTGTGGGTAACTCACCACTGTGATCAATGGACGCACAGGTACATTCGATGCGCACAATGTGCGCATGCGGAATTGTTGACCTCGGTCCATCGGTTAATTAAACAATTGAATGTAGTTAAGATAAGTTGTTTGCGGCAGCATCATGTGGTAAATCTCTTTTGTGGGTACATGTGGTTCTGAAAAGAACCGAAGGGGACTCAATGTTTCGGACGGTATGCTCTGCCCGTCGTCAGGAGATACGTACATGTACAGGTCCTGACGACGGGCAGAGCATAGTGTCCAAAACGTTGAGTTCCTTCCGGTTCTTTTCAGAACAAAACATACTCACAAAAGAGATTTACCATATGGTAACCACTTATCTTATTACCTTTTGACCATGCAAACCTTCAATCTCATAAGTCTAGAATGAATTTAGTAGGAAAAAAAAATAAAAATGATAGTGTGATGTGTTTAGAGCAATTTTCTAGTATAATACCTGTACGTAATTGTCTTTATAGTTAGTTATTCCTGCACTGAAAGTGGGGTAAGCTTGACACGTACACAATATACAAAATGGATAATAACAACCATACCAACTATTTATGCATATTACAGAAAAACCAAAGACCGAAATGTCCGCAGTGAGAGGAAAGTACAAGCCAGGGGTCTACGGAGAGCTTGCACAGTGCGCCCTCACATGAGGACATGTTGGTCTTTGTTCCTCTATAACATGAACTTTCTTTATCACCAATTCATAAATACCAGATACAGTTTAATTCCTATTGGTCGAGGGCAAGTTACGTGGGTGGTTTTAAATCGCTGTTTGAACACCGCTTAGAAGTGTTTAAAACCGGCCAATAATAAAGGTGGCCCCTCAATCAGGACACACATTAATCTGCTTTTGAAACTGTATTCTTCACAAAATTGAGTAGGTTTTGAAGTTCGAAAAAAATATACACAATTTGATAAAGCAAATCTAATTTTACATAGGTTTTACTTTTGAGGAACAGACCATGGCTTAGTAAAAGACCAAGCCCATACCCGGTATTAAACTAAATGCTTACAGCTGCTCCACTACACTATTATTCACTTATTTACATAACATAATGTTTGTTCGAGACTCGCACGCATGTCCTTAATTGTTGCTATAGGCCTACAAAGAAAATCCCATGTGTGATGGCCGCACCTTCATCTCGGCTTTCGGAAAGGAGTAGGACTGCAACTTCCAGGTGCCCCAGACAATGCCCCTTCCCAGGACGTCACTCGCCAAGTAGCCCGGG